TATATCCTCAAATATGTGATTTTCCCACTTAGTGATTCGCCTTCATGATTCGTAAGGATGGTGTACACTGTGTGATTTCGAATATATTAGTGCTCGATCTAAGATGTATTGTGTTAACTAATATAATTGTTACACACAACATGCAACGTAGCCGTAATATTTAAGTTACCATATTGCATTAAATTGTGTTCTTTTTAAGTTTGTGTTCGCCGTAGATCATTTTTTTACGTCTTCTTCAATATTGAGCCCAACTAATTTGACAGAATGACCAGGAAAACCATGATTCCAACGACATTTTATTTATTTGATTAACTAATTGTTGCATCTATGTTTGTTACCTGGCCTGTATCTATTTTATTCTTAAATTCAACCGCATATTAATACCATGTTGAGTAGGACAACCGCGATAGGGTCGGGAATGTGAGACTACCTGAGATTATTTGTGTCCAAAGTGCTGCCAGGAAAAAGTTGCTGGTAAGTTCAAATTAAAATAGCATGAAAAGGATGAGCGATAGAATAACATAGGACTAAGGACCCACAGTTGAGACAGAGCCACAACCACGTCATGTCTACAAGTGGACTGAAACGAATGAGGTTTAGAGAGCTTAAGTTTAGTAAACACCTATGAGAAATATGATAATAACGAGGTTGAGAGGAGCGAACAATGAAGGTTAACTTCGAACCGTGTAAACTTCCTGTAATGTATGTAAGAGATACGTATTATATGAATCAGCCGCATCTCAATTTGAGCGAAAGCGTCGGATACGACTAATCATAGAGACGTGGAAATGAAACTAAAATCAATTCCCGATACGTCAAACGTATGAGTGGCGGTGGTGTATAACGTAGGAATTTATTGTGCTACAAAGCCAGGCTATAGAGGCACAAATCAGTATCGACGGTGTAGGTGGGCATACAGTTGTGCTGGTGTAAGACCTATATGTTTTTTAAAAAAGTGTTTAGTTGTATATCTGTGTCTGCGTTCCCTCGTTTCTTTTGTTTTAAACCTCGAATTTGCAGTCTATGGTATGCTGACCTGAAAAGTCAATGCATCTTAAGTAAGAATGAATTACCCATCCTTAATTTTTTGAGATGTAAGGCTATTATCGATTGATACTATTGAAGACCTAAAATGTTTGGTTACATTAGATCCCGCTCGTATAGTAGTTTATGCTTGTTCGAGAATTAGTGTGCATTATCGTGCAGCCTGGAGAAAGACGACGAGAAATGATCCGAGATTTCTACATTACACCGTCATGATCACGTTTAATTCCGTCTGTCCAGATAATTACGATTTTCTGACCAACGCTCGTCGTCGACCACATAAATCGTATCAACTGCAAAGTTGACAAGGTGTAATATAAAATGTGGAAAGTCATTATGACGATCATCATTCTGATATTATTTGCTTAGACAATTTTGATAACGAACTGTCTAGTGACGATAAACATATGCTTACCACCAACAGAAATTGTTACGATCAAGAAAAAAAATAAACTACGTTGTTACCGACTACATTTCCACAGGGTTTAATAAAATAGACAGAAATACTTGAATATTTTTACTGAAAAAACTAAACTCATCAAACAGATTTGTTAATCCATAATTACTGTTAGTTTCTTGTGAACTGTTGATTGGTGAAGAAATTGATTTTACGATTTAATGATATTGCTATTAAATGCTCAATATATATTTTGTTCCACTCCTTTATATTATGGACTCTCCTTTGCTCCCTACAACCTAGCGTTGATGACAGAAAAAAACAGTCAAAGAAACCCACTGAGTCGTTAAAAAAAATGAGGAGAGAAGAAAACTTTCCCCGGCGACTCATATTATTAGGTGTACAATCATATTTATAGGTAATTTTTTCAGATGAAATAAACTATTATAAAATAGAGTGGTGTCTACTTTATAAAGAAGAAAGATTATGTTCAGCCCGCCATCAATGGTACCTCCAAATATGTTAGATTAAAGAAGTATTGATTAATGTTAACGTTGCCGTGAGTGTAGAGTAATAAATGAAGAAGAATTAAAAAGTTGTTCATATGGATACTTATTATTAAGTTGCCTGCATGAATATTGTAGATGAGAAACGGAAATCATGAAGGCAAGGTTCAAGAAATTGAAAATTAGTGCCAAATAATGCAGAGTTTGTAATCACCGAGCTTTTGATAGTTTTAAGCACGACTTGCATTTAACCAGTGCAACAGTTGGGAAAAGTTATCTATTTATTCTACTTCTATTCGGATAATATCTCTGATCCTTCCATTTATACATACTTGTTATCAAATTTCTTCTTGAAAGGACATTTTGAAAATCACTACACATAACATAAATTACTTCCGCATAATTTTGATTATAGGTAAGCAGTACCTACTTAATATGATATCTTCATGTTTATTAGCTGGTTCAGATTCTCACTATTAAAACTCATTTATATATCTTATTTATTTTTTGCATTTATCGTAAACTCAACCTGTATCACTCATAACGGGTCTCATAAGGTTTTGGTATTAAAGAGATAGATTATGAATATTCTAACTCCTCATGGAAATCAATTCAACGTGATTTATCGTATTCACCTATAGTTGCTTAAACACTATCGTTGTAAATGACTAAACCGAACTAGACGATCATTTGTTGAAATGAATCTCAAATGCAAAATGTAAATGTTTCAACATTTAATCAAATCTAACGGAATTTTATTGATCAGGTTGGAATAATTAATCACTTACAGCTAATAAAATGATCCACATGTTGTGGATGAGGAGGAATAGACCAATAATTATCATGTTAAGTCCAATGGTGTCCTTGGACTTTAAATGGATATTTCCTATCGGTCGATATCTGTTCACTTGTTGAATATTGTACAAAATGTTGTTTTCTATTTTATGGTACGATGTGGTATGCTTGATTGGTATATAAACAAAGTATGTTTGAAATATAATGATTCATATCTCCGAGGCTGTGACTTGTGTTCTGGACTCAAGTGACTGGGCTAGACAGGGAAGCGAGACTCTAGGCCGTCTGTTCGTGTTTACGTGTCACTGCAATCGATCGATAAGTACGCTGCTCTCTAATTTTCCAGTCAAGGACACAACAATTAGCACAGGGTAAAAATCGACCGCAACCTAAAGCCATAACACCACACTGGCAACAAAAAAATGTGTCACGCACCCAACGGAAACGAGATCTTAATGGTGTAACATTGATTCGATTTACTTCATGCCCTCAGTACTTTCCTCTATCCTGCAATTCAGAAAGGTAGTTCTAAATGCTCAATGGGAACCCTCGTTTCAGACCATTAAAGGAATTTATTCTCCAAGTTGAGGAGAAAATCGTAAACTGTGTTACGAGTTAAGCTATCTCAAAGTACTTTGAACAGTGAGGCTGATATCATTTCTAGGGGTTTGTGGGTGTCAGATTTTAAACGGAAGGTTTTGTAAAACAATTAAAATTCCACGAAAATTGTTACATCCGAAAGAATAAATGTATGGTAACTGCTAGGGACTATTATTACACATATTCTTAATAGATAATCATTAACTAGATTATATATATATTCGTATTCCTTCTATCATCAACTTTCATTTGACCGATTGGCTGTTATTCGACTCACCATTCTTAATTTATTGGCTACAGTCTCTCATACACACAGCCACTTGTGTCTTGATGAAGTATAATTATTATTTTTCATTTTATGGTGTGATGCAGGTCCTGTCTGCTTGTATATAAACCAGTTATGTTTGAAACATGCAATTTATGCAGCGGGGGCTGATGTTTGTGTCCTAGACTGAACGGGTTGGACTAGACGAGAAGTTGCGATACAGAAAACCAATACGGACTCAGTTGACTCAAGGCTGCTGGTACTGATTAACGCATCAATGGTTTAGCATAAGGAAAAGCTCATATAGGTCGGTGTTCTGATTGGCGGTTTTGTCACATGATATTTAACGGGCCATATGATATTAAAAAATCACTTTACGATTCGAGACAGCTGTTACAAATTAAATGCTATTCATGTGTAACATGTTTCCAGAATTACAATAGACCTACAGTAATCAATAACACCAGCATGAAGATGTGTTTCAAAAAATATCGGCTATTTAGTAGTTTAGGCAAGCCAATGGCAGTGAATCTAAGTCTTTCGTTCAATGTTCGTTTGTTTGAAGAGTTACATCCAGTGACAAGATGGTCTACCAATCATAAGAATGAGTTGCTCGTGTAGTTAATGTGGGAAGTCAATGGTTCTTTCAACTGGCAAATCATACAAGGAAGATTCATTCTTTATTGATTTTCAGGGCTCCAAACTTTGTGGTTGTTAAATTCGTGTGTGAAACTTTTAAGAGTAAAATAATTCCAGAGGATGTTGTCACTATGTATCCCAAGTGTTCAGGTAATTAAAAATTGTAGGTTCGTTGAACTTACATCAATAATTTTGAACCATACATGTATACTGAGTATACAAGAAAAGTTGACTGGGATTTCTGGTTTTATTTGCACAACCGCAAAACAAGTACAGGTTATCATTTTCTAAGCCATGTATATTTTGTGATTTGTGATGAGCGTTCGAATGTAGTAATGTGTTTTTTGCTTGCACTACACATATTAGAGAATTAATATCTACAACGCAAGTGCGCTATAATCTTAGAAGAGCTTCAACTCGATAATTTGCAATATATACGACCCAATAACCTTTAAGATTCTGGTTATGAAACTACTACATAGCTGATAATTTCTTGTTTACTAATTTTTGATATCATAATTTGTAATACGAAATTTGTCTTACACAGTTATCTTTCAATCAAACATATTTATGGATGGGATGTAATTGATGTATCCCATTCTTCGTTAAGTGATTTCAACAGACCAGCCAGAAATCGATTAAAATACAAAGACAATTTTATTTGATAAAATGGGTACATAAGTAGAAGTAAATTAAATGAGTTGCATCAATAAAACAGGTTGTTTTTAATATGTATCTGCAGATTTCAATAAAATCAATTATTTGTGAAGATACTGTAAGGAAGAACAAACAAAAGGGGTTAAATTATTCAAAAAACTTTGAGTTACATCAAAATTTTATACGCTGCAAATTAATAATTGAAAAACAATGTCTCGATCTTTGCTGGTGGTAACCTTCAACATGTTGGTTATATGAAAGATATTCAAATAGAGGTCGTAAATTTCATGTCACAACCATTGGTTAGTGTGTGATTATTATGATTATATATCTTAAATCAATGAGTGAGAGCTCTCATGAAATGTTTTAAAAAACGCAGTTAGTAAGAAAACTTAATATGTACAAACAAAAAATAATTACCACTTAGTAACCAGAACCACGACCACGAGAAGCGTAATTACCAGGACGGCGATAACTGGTAGTGCTCACTGAATTTACTCGACCTTTGCTTGAAAAACACAAATTTCGAGAAGCACCAGAAAACCGAGCATTTGAATTTTGTTGATCAGAATAATAGTCACTTCTGACGGACTCTCCTTCTCCTTGATAGTCATAACCACGGTTAACAGTCTCTCTGGAGCTCGGTTGAGATCCCCTTTTAGATCAAGAATTGAAATTTCATAAACAAATTAGAGTTGTAACATATTTGGCGGTGAAATTATGTCATAAGTAAAATATTGTAATTTACTTGGCTTTAATTACATGAATTTTCGTAAGTATATTATAAAACTAACCAGTTACGGATCAGGGCATACACCACAAATTTTGGCTACCATTCTTAACTTTTGAGGTTGTTAATTAATCGAATGCTAGGAAGTATATCATATAGTGATATTATTATGCACAGAAAAAGATTGAAGAGTAATAATTAGATATGATTAACGTGAATAGAACCACACTTTAGTTATATGTTTCTCAAAATTAATAAACGTTGGTACAATGGAGTACAAAATACACATGCGCCACATAATAAAGATGATGTCGTGAAGAGCTAGATAATGTGAAGTGTGTACAACAAAAAGGAGAACAACGAAGAGAAATTGATGTATTAGTGTGAAACAATAATAATAATAGTGAGAATAATAATCATAACGCGAGAAACAGTGACGTTAAGAATAATATAGTCAGAACGAATTATTCAAAGTTAGGTTCATTTTTGTGAAGTAAAAGAAAACTACAGCAAGCTCGCCATTGGCTTTTATTCTGATCCACTTTTGATAACGTCTCTAAACACTGTGTGTTGCATTATCTTTAGCACCCCAACCAGGATATCGTGAAGGACAAACAGATGCAAGTATTGTACGACTTCCTTTCACACCACAACATCGTATCATAATTTGACAACCTCTCCGCTTTTTCCAACCAGTCCCAGCGTCGGCAAATAATGCACGACGTGGAACTCTCTGGAACGACATTCGTAGAACATGTCCAAGCCACCGAAGTCGACGTTTCAAGATGGTGACACAAATTGCATTATCGTCTCTGTGCCTGAAAACACGATGCAGAAGCTCTGCATTACTAACATGGTGATGCCACTCGATGTCAGCAATCCTTCGAACACAACGATGATCAGACACAGGGTTGCCTAACATCCTCAACTCGAAAAGGCCAGGTTTCACAAGCATAGAGAAAAACTGCTCTCACCGACGCGTTGTAGATCCGACCTTTTACACCCAGACTGACATCACGAAGGCGCCAAAGATGACCCAGATTGGCATAAGCTGCTCTGGCTTTCACTATACGTGTATTGATCTCATCACTCACGCCACCACCAGCACTTGTGTAGCTACCCAGATACACAAACTTCTCGATTACTTCTATCTGCTCACCATCCAGGGTGAGTGTAGGATCAGGGTCCTGTCAGTCTTGTAAAAGCACTTTGCAATTCGAAGGTGCAAAGCACACGCAGTTCCTAAGGAAGCTGACTAAGCGAGGATTGTATGGCTTGGATATCATCGCACAATAAGACAATATCATCTGCATAATCAACGTCGAGAAGTCTCTCTCCAGGCAACAGATCCACACCACCATTACTAACATCCATCAGAGCTGTTTCCAGAATGTCATCGATGGCAAAGTTGAGGAGGAATGGTGAGATCGGGCAACCCTGTCTGAGCCCACTGCTTGAATGGAACAATGGAGAAAGGTGGTTGGATGCCCTTTATCAATAATTATCGAGCGCCTAACTAAGACTCGCGGACTGCAAACATGAGAAAATCAGGCTGGCTTCAGACCTGGTCGTGGCTGCATCGACCACATATTCACCATTCGTCAGGTTCTAGAACACAGGCATACTTATCGACGTCCGACAATGGTGGTCTTTCTTGACTTAAAAGCAGCATTTGACTCCGTAGACCGCGAGATTCTGTGGCAGTGTCTGTCATTGAAAGGGGTACCCCAGAAGTACATAAACCTTGTAAAGGCTCTTTACTCGAACGCTACTAGTCGAGTCAGAGCTTATGGCGAACTGTCATCTACTTTTGCAACCTCAAGTGGTGTCCGTCAAGGCTGTCCACTTTCTCCATTTCTGTTTAACTTCATCATAGACCTACTGATGGAAATAACATTCTCGACTGAATTCTCGGGCATTGATCTCCTTCCAGGAGGTCCACCGCCTCAAGCAACAATGCTATCATGTTTGGGATGTGTCCTAGGGAAACTTCAACACTATGGTATACCTGAGAAAATCGTCAATATCATACGGAGTTTATGCGACGGACTACAGTGCAAAGTGCTGCATGGAGGACAGCTAACAGATTCATTCCAAGCGAGGACCGAAGTCAGATAAGGCTGATTACTTTTTCCGTTTCTCTTCCTTTTGATGGTCGACTGGATTATGAAAACCTCGACATCTGAGGGAAAACACGGCACACAATGGACAGCTCAGAACCAATTAGAAGATTCGGACTTCGCAGATAACCTGGCCCTTCTATCCCATACACACGAGCAAATCCAGATGAAGCCAACTAGTGTAGCAGCAGCCTCTGCATCCGTAGGCCTCAACATACACAAAGGAAAAAGCAAGATCCTCAAATACAATACGAAGAGCACCAACCCAATCACACTTGATGGAGAAGCTATGGAAGATGTGGAATCTTTCACGGACGAGGAGGATCTGATGCAGAAGTAAAGGCGAGGATTGGCAAAACAAGGTCCGCATTCCTACAACTGAAGTACATATGGAACTCAAGACAACTGTCAACTAATATCAAAGTCAGAATCTTCAATACGAACGTCAAGACAGTTCTACTGTATGGAGCTGAAACTTGGAGAACTACCACAACCATAATCAAAAAGGTAGAAGTATTTATAAACAATTGTCTACGCAAGATACTGAATGTCCGTTGGCCGGATACCATCAGCAACAGCCTACTATGTGAGAGAAGAAACCAGCTTCCAGCTGAAGAGGAGATAAGGAAAAGACGTTGGAAGTGAACAGGATATACATTGTGGAAATCACCAAACTGCATCACAAGGCAAGCCCTAACTTGGAATCCTGAAGGGAAACGGAGAAGTGAAAGGCCGAAGAACACACTGCGTCGGTAACCGGAAGTGGACATGAAAAGGATGAACGGCAACTGGAAAGGATTGTCCAGGACGTGGTTAGATGGAGAGTGCTGGTGGGTGGCTTATGCTCCTCCCTGAGGGGCAACAGACGTAAGTAAGTATAGAAGTTGTAAAAGCCTTTATTTTTGTTAAAGACATTACGTAACATAGTATGTATACAAGAAACATAACATTCTAAATATCAAATTTCATTTGCTGCCACTGAACCTATCCCTAAAATGGTTCAACAGTTTTAAGGAACGTTTGAAAGGAAACCAATAAGCGAAATGAACTATAAAATCGATTTACGCTGGTGGGTCAAAAGCCTCAGGACAATATTAGTCAAAATAATCATTTATGGTCATTAAAAAGATCTCTTGACCTTTCTTATGAACTGAAATTATCACCATTTATATAACCCAGAAAACACATGATTAATCTATTATTCACTTTTACCTACATCAGAATGAGCTGGAAGTACCAAATAAAAATGAAGATACACATATTTTTGTTGATTTAACAATTTGATTGCTTTACGAAAGAGAATCTAAAACAGATAATTGTAGTTAAAATGTAATTGTAAAAAGACAATCATAGCCCCAAATGCAATATGCGATCAGGATAAAAGGAAACTAGAAGGCGTTAGAAATTGACGCTGAAGAAAATAAATGACATTTATATGTAGTAAAGAATATGAAACAAGTGGATATGACAATACTTACTTATAGGAATCGCGAGACGAATTATGAAGTACCTCATGACTGGAGACGGTACCACGTCGGTTATCGCGACCACGAATCCCAGACTTCGAAAAGTTGTTGTATCGTTCATGACTAAATTCATTTTCTTGGTCATCAACCTGACAGGATGAAGTGTAATTCTGCATATTTGCATCTGAATCCCGTTTTCCTCCGGCTGGTACTATTGAATGTTTTCGCGTTTGATTGACAGAAGCAGATGGACGGGCAGAGAAATAATTCCCCTTTTTAGTTCGTAAAGCGTTGCCTTGAGTTGAACTCTGGTCGTTATGTTTTGGCTCACTTTGGCTGTTCAAAGTTTGTTCGTTTTGACATTTTGGTAGTGATTCTTTTGATGTTGGTTTTATCACACATTCTGATGATTTGTGTCCTTCTAATTCTGAAAGGTTTATTCTAACCCTATTTTCTGAACTAGAATCCGAAATCCCCGAAAATGGTTTTGAGTCCGCTATAATGGCTGATTTTCTGGACGCTGATGCACTAGGTTTTTCTGAAGTTGCGTCTGAAATGTTTGATGCCCGAAATGATGGCCAACTCGAACACTGATTTGTAGACCTGTTTGGACGCTGACCTAGATAATAATTCAAAAATTATTTTTGAATCTTGAGTGTATGGTCAAAAGTATGTCTCTTTTGACGTTTATAAACGTTTAACGCCTTCGTGGAGTGGCAATGCTTGTATTCACAGTTAAAACCATATATTCAAAGATATGTGATCTCAAATTTAGAAAAAACGTACGTACAAAATTTCGTATCAATACAATACAATTGAACATAAACTTGTGGTAGATAAGAGGAGTGAAATTAGAGGACCTTCATGCGAGTAATGTACATCAGTTGTGTGATCGAAAAGGCATAAACAATATTTATGCCAGGGGTTAAGTATTTTTTAGATTATTGCTAATTGTTCTGGTTTACATATGACCTGATACATCGAGATTAAAAGTAACTACTAAGCTGTTCTATTGTGAGCATTACTGATATTTTCGTATATTTAGTGGCGAGTTAGAAATCATATTACCCAGGGTTTATTACATTTGGGGATTTAATGGAAAAAGGTAGTTTTATATTACAAATAAGCGGAAAACATCGCCCCAAGATATAGTATTTCCTGACAGCAAAACGATATGAACATTTTGGAGAAATACCTCAGAAATAACGTGAAACTAGATACGTAAATTAGATAGCATACTTTATTATTTTTATTTGAACATATTGGTACAAGGAGGCACCAAATACATATACGCCACACAAATCTCATATGATTTGTGCGAGGGCTGTGATACTGCCCGGGTGTCCAAACCGAAACAGATGGTTTTCTTGGGGGGTCACATCCGGAGCCTTCGACCTACAGGTCTGATCCACAAGGCAGTGAAGCATCGTAAGGAGATGCAGTACCATGGTAGCCGGTGACCAACGATTGGTTCATACGCCATTTGTTCACTCAGGATATTGGAGCCCATGTGCACCATTGGTTTGGAATCAGGGTTTTCCAACTCACCTAGGTGAACTCTCCGTGTCCACCAACCCGGTCAAAGCGCCGGACATTCGCTTTTCGTCCTCTCAATTTCGTAAACAACACCCCCGCCACGAGAAGGCAGTGAGTAGTACTTCCCTGGCATAGGCTATATACGCGTAGGCATGTGAGAGCATTTCGAGAGGGTGAGCGGCCTCTGCCCACTATTGGTCGTACCAGGGCATACACAACTGATACAACATTGTAACATACTGATCTTATTTATTTTTCAAGAGCCTTTGATCTCATAATCGTCTTATACGACTTATGATCACCAACAGGCTTTGTTTCAATAGACTGAAGCGATTCAAAACTCCACTGCAGTTGTATATATAAATTTGGCAGGTTGTAAGCTACTAATAAGAACCAAGCAGTATACAATGAATCCCCCGAATTATATCCTTCGGTTGTAATCAACCTAGGACATGATATAAATGTAAACCAGATGAATAACCAAGGAGTTAGAGCAACAGTAAGACAAAACATACAGAACATATTTCGGGAAGGAATGGAGTTAGGAGACAGACAGCACGGAGTGATACTGGAACTCGGGATGTAGGGGGGAGTAAGAAATAAATGCATCTGACCCTGTGAGACCAAAGTCACATTTAAGTCTGATCTTCCTGGTTTTCTTCTAGTCCACTCCTATCTAAAATAATATTGAAGACTGGGGTCGTTGATGGTTAAGAATATGTAACACGTGTTCCGGTCAGCCCATTGAATGAGATAAACAACCTTGTAAACTATTCTGTCATATTTATCAAGTAACCTGTAACTGACTTCAGTATTGTTTACTCCGCTTTTCTATCATATCTGAGTAATGCTTTGAAGGAACATGTGATAAATACCGCTAATCTAGAAAAAAATCACAATTTTAGAATGTCGGAGTAATATGAAGTGCATTCCAAAAACATTATACTCCCTGTGCGGTTGGCGGAGAGTTACCTCGCCTTACTTACTTACACCTGTTACTCCCAATGGAGGATAGGCCACCGACCAGCATTCTCCAACCCACTCCATCCTAGGCCTTACTTCCCAGTTCTGTCCAATTTTTGTTCATTTTTCTTATATTTGTCTCCGTTTCTCGGAGTAATGTGTTTTTGGTCTTTCTCTTTTTCTTTGGCCTTGAGGATTCCAAGTGAGGGCTTGTCTTGTGACGCAGTTGGGTGCTTTCCTCAATGTGTGTCCCATCCATTTCCAGCGCTTCTTCCACTGGGATCTGTTTTGTTCTCTCCCGTAGTAGGTTGTTGCTGATAATGTCTGCCCAAAAGATCTGAAGTATTTTGCGTAGACAACTGTTAATAAACAGTTGTATCTTCTGGATGATGGCTTTCGTAGTTCTCCAGGTTTCCGCCCCATGCAGTAGAACTGTCTTGACATTTGCATTGAAAATTCTAACCTTGGTGTTGGTTGACAATTGCTCTAAGTTTCAGATGTTCTTCAGTTGTAAATATGCTGCTCTTGCTTTACCGATCCGCGCCTTCACATGTGCATCAGATCCACCATGTCCATCAATGATGCTGCCTAGGTATGTAAAGGTTTTTATATCCTCCAAATTTTCTCCGTCAAGTGTGGTTCGATTGGTGCATGCTGTGTTGTATCGGAGAATCTTGCTTTACCCTTTGTGTATGTTGAGACCTACTGCTGTTGAGACTGCTGCTACACTAGTCGTATTCTCCTGCATTTGTTGTTGCGTGTGGGATAGATGAGCTAGATCATCTGCGAAGTCTAGATCATCCAGCTGCATCCTACCTGTCCACTGTATCCCATGCTTCTCCCCTGAGATGTTGACGTCTTCGTGATCCAGTCGATCACTAGAAGAAAGAGAAAGGGTGAGAGTAAACAAACTTGCCTGACACCGGTCTTCACTTCGAACGAGTCCGTCAGCTGTCCTCCATGCGCGATTTCGCAGTTTAATCCATGATAAGAACTCTGTATAATATTGACTATCTTCTGAGGCACGCCGTAGTGTCGAAAAAGCCTCCATAGTGTTGTCCTGTCCATGGTATCAAATACTTTCTCGTAGTCAATGAAGTTGGTGTGGAGTGATGAATTCCATTCAATTGATTGTTCCACAATGATCCGTAGTGTTGCGATTTAGTCGGTACACGATCTAGCCTTACGGAATCCTGCCTGTTGGTCTCGGAGTTGGGCGTCTACGAAGTCCTTTATTTTGTTTAACAACACCCTTTTGGAGACTCTTCCCGGTATTGAGAGAAGAGTGATGCCCCTGTAGTTATCACAGTTTCTGAGATCGCCTTTCTTTGGTATCTTGATCAGGTGTCCTTCTTTCCAGTTTGTTGGTACTTGTTCTTCACCCCAAATCTTGCTGAAGAGAATATGGAGTGTCTTTTCAGTTACTGCCACATCTGCTTTTAGTGCTTCCGCTGGAATGTTGTCTGGTCCTGCTGCTTTGCCGCTCTTGAATTGTCTGATGGCCATGCTGATCTCTTCAATCGTTGGTGGGCCAACAGTGATTGAGAGGTCCATGTGTGCTGCTTGAACGTTGGGTGGGTTCAGTGGAGTTGGTCGATTCAAGAGTTCTTTGAAGTGTTCTACCCACCTGTTTCGTTGTCCTTCGATGTTGGTGATTACTTTGCCTTCAATGCTTTTCACTGGTCGTTCTGATTTACGGTAATTTCCAGAGAGTTTCTTTGTTGTGTCATAAAATTGTCTCATGTTTTCTTCTCTTGCAGTTACCCCCCCCCCTACACCACAAATATTGACTATTCACAAAAGCTAAGTTAGTTTTCTGAATCCAAACATCCTTGCAGTTACTCTAGGCCCTTAAAAGACTAGTTTTGTCAGCTACGTCGACAAATGCACTATGTCACCGATCACTGAATCTTATGGTAAGAGATCAACCCATTAAAATTTAGACGAAGAACTCTTTCTGTCTGGAATAAAAGTGGGCAGTCTTAGTGAATATCACTTAACCAGTTCAGATGAGAGTTTGCGATAAGCTGAGTGGATTTGTAATTCGAAGTCTAAAAAATTCTTGTTCTAACTTTACTGGACCAAATAAAACCTATGAAAATGTGTACTCGAACTAGAAAACGATCAGAGGCCCAAAGAATCTTGAGTAGTGGGTGATAAATATACGGTTTATTTGTAGAAGCTGCTGTTTCGATGTTGTGCATAGCTAGGCTGCACAATGACTTGCCTTACGTTTAGGGAGGTTGGAGGTCCGAAAGATTTTTGTAAAACTCATTTTACTTCAATCGTACTGCAGTCAGTGTAGCGTAGTCAAAAAATACAAAAAGCAACGGTCTACAAGTCTTCGTTATTCTATTTAAATGAACAGAAAAAGTGACTAGTTACTTGAATTCATTTCATGGATGTTTGTTCTGCTTTCAAAGTTAATGCCTTGCTTACACCAGTAGCTGAGTCTCCTGATACTCGAAAAGTGAGCCACACTGCATGAAGCCCAGTGATGTGCTCGATTTCGAGCCAATAAGTTCTGGATCCGGACCTCATCTACTTCAATTTGAGCAACTGAGTATTATCAACAGCCTCCACACTTAGTGTGTACATATAGATCCTAATCATTCATCAGTACGAGCACGCGTTTGCGTATTACTGGATACAGAAAAGCCACGTCAAGAAGACTCCTCAGAGCTCAACTTAACGACAAAAATGTTAACAAGATACTTCAGGAACAACTAGAGAACCAGCAATTCAATCGTCAAAGTGATGCGGAATCATATGATATCCAGACAGCATTGATATCTACCAATAACTTAAACCAAAAGGTTAAGAAAAACCAACAAATTTCATCAGCGTCTACTGAACTGATAGATACTAGGAAACTCATACTATCGAGTTTCAAGCACGATATGTAGACTGACAAAAAGTTTACCCAATGATAGTAAGCGGTCAGTCAGTCAGCTACAACGTAGGACCAGGCACATATATGCATCGGTCCAGGTTGCCATAACTCATTAGCACAGCAAGATGAACACCAGATTCATAGGAGTGGTTAGGTCAAAGGTGGTAATATATAGGAGAAAGATTGCATATAAGGATACAGTACAGGAAGAAAGTAGTTAGTAGAAA